AGGCAAGACCCCTCCCGAAGTTGATCAACAAAAATAATCCTTGGTGCTAGATGTGCCCCTTTGCTGTGCGGCACCCTCTCCAAGGGGAGCCCATTTGCTGCGCTGCACCTTCTGCTAGGCAAGACCCCTCCCCGAGTTCATTAAAACATTATCCCTGGTGCTAGACATGCCTTCTGCTGTGTGGCACCCTATGCTAGGCGAGACCCCTCGCCAAGTTGATTAAAACAGAATCCTTGGTGCTAGGCATACCCCTTTGCTGTGCGGCACCCTGTGATAGGCAAGAGCCCTCCTCAAGTTCATTAAACAAGAATCATAAAACAACGGTGAGCCCCAGGAGCCTCCTGGGGTCTCCCAGAGCTCACCAGGGTTTCTTGGGGCCTCCTGGTGCTTTCTGGGGCTGTCTTGGCTCCTCCCAGTGTCCCCTCGAGCTGTCTTGGCCCTCTCCAGGGGCGCGAATCCTTTGTGTTAAACGTATGTGCCAATAGATTGGCCTTCTCTTGGGGCGCGAGTTCATGGTGTTTCACGCATGCGCTTATAGATTGGCCTACTCTTGGGGCACGAATGTTTAGTGTTTTACGTGCGTGCTCATAGAGTGGCCGTATCATGGAACGCGAATCCTTAGCGTGTTACGTGATGCCTAGAATTTTGCCTTCTTCTGGGGCGCGAATCCTTTTTGTGTTTTACACATGTGCGTATAGGTTGGCCCTCTCCTGGGGCACGAGTCCTTTGTGTTTCGCGCGTCGTCTTGAAAGCTGATGAAATCCGAAAACCAACAAGCTAAACATGCAAGTTTTACGAAGGGAATGGGACGATTATTGTGCTTTGAAGGCCCCTTGGAAAGCTTTTTGGGGTGCCTTGGGGGTCTTCTGGGCCGTCCTGACGCAATGGGAGTCCCTCTTGGAGCGCTCTTGTGCTGTCTGGGGCCTCCCTTGAGCCTTTCCGATGACCCCTCGGATCGCTCTGGGTCTGCTGGCAAGGCGTGTGTGGAGACCCAGAAAGCCGGGTGACCTTTTCCAAGGACGTCCAAGGGAGCCCGAGAACCCCAGATCCCGGGGTTCCAGTTTTTTTTGGGAGGATGTTCCCCCCCCTCCCCTGGGCTTGTAACACTATAGGACGAGGAATATATATATATATATATGCACCTAAATCTACATATATAACTATATATATATACACATGCATATATATATATATATATATATATATACGCACCATGGAGGCCCCGCAGTTGCGAAGCAGAGTGAAGGGGGCAGGTGGGGGTGTCGTCGGCAGTCTGCGAGGTTCGGGAGAAAGCTTGAGGGCCTCCGCCGCAGGTTGTTTTTTTTTCTCTCATACGACACCACGAGCCCGCCGCAGGCGCGGATTCTTCGTCAACGCAATGTCGCAATGTGGGGGGCGGGTCGCAGGGGGGGGGGGGGTCGCAGAATGGACGATGACACCGAAGCTACAACAATCAGTTTAATATTATTTTTTCTTAGCTGATCGCGTGTCAACCAATCCCAAGCCTTCGATACCTGCCCCCGTTCGTCTTCGATCGTCCCCCCTTTGGGGGCATCCTTTCCCAATAAAGACGTATAGTTGGCATGGGAACGAGCCGTCGCTGTTGTTCCGTTGGCAGCCGTTGCTGTCTCAGGGTGCCAGCCCCGTGAAGGGAACTTCGATTGAAACACAACGGGCACCATCGGGGGCATCAGCAATAGGCATTCTTCAGAATGGAGTGCTCAACATCAACAACAACAGTAATCATCATTTATATATTGTTGTCTCGCAGGTGCTCGCGTGCCATTCAACACGCACGTATATATGTATACATATATGTACATGTATATGTATTCCAAGCCCTCGATGCCCGCTCTATTCGTGTTCGATCGTGAACTGTTTTGGCGTAGCGAATACTTTCCTGTCATGCGTAATTGGCGCAGCCCTTGACATCAGGAACAATGGAAATAGCGGTAAAGGGAGAGAGCGAGGAGGAAGAGAGGGGAGGATTACCCAGAGGGATTCGTTGGAGGGCATGGCAAGGACGTTTCAGACGAGAGCGAGCGCGCATGCCGAAAGCATTCGAACACCGTTGCGCGCTTGCGTGGGGGGGGGAGCGCGGTCCTTGCCAAAGAATACCATGCGGGCCATTCGCGCCCGTAGGCCGCGCGCGAATTACGAAATTCTTCCCCACCGGCACGTGGACACTATCATCGTCATTCGCCTCGCCGCCTTCACCGTCATCATTGTCACCAGTATCGCTATTATCGCATCCTTGCTGCCGTTGTCACCTGACTCGCACTGAAGTTCTCTCGCGCGGCGTCACCCCTCACACGGTTCGTGGCTCCATAGCGGGCTCCACCGAGTGTTTCCGTGGCGCAGTTCGCATGTGGGCGTCGCACCCGTTTCGGCACACCCCTCATACGCCTCGTGGCCCCATATGGAGATCCATCCAGGGCCTCCATGGCGCAGTTCGCATGTGGGCGTCATTCTCGGTTTTGCACACCCTTCACACGGTTCATGGCTCCATAGGAAGATCCACCCAAGGCCCCAGTGGCACAGTTCGCATGTGGGCGTCACCCCTGTTTCGGCTCACCCCTCACAAGTTTCGTGGCTCCATAGGGAGCTCCACCTAAGGCGACAGAAGCACAGTCCACATGTGGGCGCCACCCCCGTTTCGGCACTCTCATCACACGTTTCGTGGCCCCATGGGGTGTTCCACCCAAGGTCCCAGTGGCGCAGTTCGCATGTGGGCGTCGCTTTCGTTTCAGCACACCACTCACGCGCTTCCGGTAGTGCTGCATAGTCGCTTTCTGGGTGCTTCGGCCCCACCCTGCAGCGCCCTCGCGGCGTTCCAAGCAGGTCGCAGTTCACACTACTCACGCGCTTCTTGGCCCCATCGAGAGCTCCACCGAGTCCCCCCGTGGTGCATTTCGCATGCGGGCGTCACTTTCGTTTCGGCACACCACTCACACGTTTCTTGGCCCCATCGTGAGCTCCACCGAGTGCCTCCGTGGCGCAGTTCGTATGCGGATCCCCGCTCATGTCGGCGCACCCCTCACGTTTCGCGGCCCCATCAGGAACTCCACCGAGTGCCTCCGCGGAGCAGTTCGCATGCGGTTCCCCACCCATTTCGACACGCCCCTCGCGCGCTTCGTGGTCACATCGGGAGCTCCAGCGAAAGCGACGGCCACCGTGCGGTGTTCACAACTGCACATGGTCGGGTCCGTCGCCAGGATGGTTCGTTTGCCTGGGCCCAGGGCGCGCGCCCGCAGGCGTCCTGATCAGTTGAGCACAGTTCCGTGCTCGTGCCACTTTCAGCGAAGACGACCTGCTTCCGGCTCCCTCCATGCCTCTTCTATTTCGTCTCTTGCTTCCGACTTCGCACCCGTCGCCGCACTCGTCTTCTGTCGGGGGGGGGGGGCGGGCAGCGAGGTGCGGCCAGACGGGGGCGAAGAGACGATCTGGCCTCCGCGATGCCAGCTGCGCAGCTACCGCAGCACCTGTAATATTTGAGGAAATCCAGCGGAATGGGGCCCCATCTGGGTCCACGTGAGACCTCGCCTCCTTGGGCGGTGTCAAGAGCTCACGTGTTGGGGTGGGGCCCCATTCGATTCCAAGCGAGGCCTCGCTGCCCTGGGCGCTGCCCACTGCGCAATTGTGGTGTCCTGTGGTCTCCTGTTGTATTCCAGGCACCAGAGTGAGCCCACCTCGTCCCCGGGACCCAGTCCCCCAAGGGTCCTGGAATGTCTGGAGGGTTTGGGGAGGAAGGGAGGGGGGAAGGGCAAGCTAGGTGCGCTCGCGTCATATCTGACTTCCTACCCCTCTCTCCCATCCCTTACCATGGCGTAGATCCCCTCTCTATTCGCACAGTCGGATGTCGAGCAGGGCAATGATCCCGAAAGGGTACGCGATGCATTGTAGAGCACGGCATGGCATGGCGTAGAAGAGCACCGCAAAGCGTAGTATGTCACAGCATGGCGTGGCGTGGCGTAGTGAATAATTGCATCACAAAGCTTTGCAACGCAAAGCATGGCTTCGCACAGCGGCCCCGAACATAACATTGCATAGCATGGCGTTGAAGATCAAAGCGTAGCATGGCATAGCACGACGTGGCACTTAAGCACTGCATATCACAGCTTCAGCTGAAGGCATGGCATCGCGCAGCGGAACGCAACCTAGCATTGCATTGCATGCCGTGGCATGGCACGGGAAATGACGCCGGCGCTGCAGCGGGAGCACGATTCGGAACGAGCGGAAGCGCGGAAATGAGTCCAGCGTTGCAGCGGGAGCACGATTCGGAACGAGCGGAAGCACGGAAATGAGGCCAGCGCTGCAGCGGGAGCACGATTCGGAACGAGCGGGGCCCGAAAATGAAGCCGGCGCCTCAGCGAGAGCAGCATTTTGAAAAAATGCATGCGAAAACCCAACTCCAGGGAATCCTTTGTGTAAAAAAACAGTACGCGGGGGGGGGGGGCGCGAACACTCCCACCCGTCATCAGGGGAAGGAGGAGAGTAGTATTCATATTGAGTAATTGTAGAGGGGGATAAGGGCAAGCTAGGTGCCCTCGCGCCGTATCTGACATCCTGCCCTTCCCACACATCCCTTCCAATTGCGCTGATGTGGTTTTCTGTCTGCCCACGGGAGCTGTGTACAGTTGAGGAAGAGGGCGCAGGAGGGAAAAGGAGCGCGGCGACAACGACACGGACTCGGATCCAGAGTTGTGGCCCGCGTTGGGGCGAGAGCGCCGCTCTCAACGACAGGAGCAAATCGTTGACCCGAAAAGAAAAATGGCCAATGCTGCAGCGGTAACACCACTTCGAAACACCAGGAACGTTCCGACTCAAAACAACATGTGCCAAACCAGTTGTTTGAAATCTCACACGCCCCCAAAAGGTATGCAGGAGAAGAGTTGCCCGCTTCGGCTGGATCCGCCAAGAGTGTAGACTAGTGTAGATGCGGAGGGAGAAGGGAAAACCATACATTCTGCAGTGCTGTATGCTTCAATACTTATGGTCATAGCCTTTTTGCTCGAAGCAATTTGACGATCGATCAAGACCGCGCTGCAATTCACAACCGACGTCCCTAAACCTCCTTCTTCGCCTCCACAATCCATGGGTGTAAGTTGCACCCAGCACCGTCTGCATGGTCGCCCAATGAAGCGTAGACCTCGCTATAGCCATCGGTCGCCGAAATTAGCAGCGGCGTTTCTGCTATCACTTTTCTGGTGCATTTTACGTGCCACAGGTGTTGCGGATAGCTGCGTGAGCAGTAGGATACGCATGACACCCATGATCAGGGATGGCTCCATGGGGGGGGGCCTAGTTTTGTTGCTCGAGGGCCAGGTGGTAGAGATGGAGGAGGAGGAGGAGGAGGAGCAGGAGGAGGAGGAGGAAGAGGAGGAGGAGGAGGATTTTGGGCACGGTGGTGGCGGGAATCGGCTCCAAAGTGCAAGCCTACAAAGCCTGTGGGTATGATTCACGCCCGCTGCCAGGGAGCCTGGAGCGGAGGGTTCCTTTTCCTTGTGATTCTCATCTTCTTCAGTCCTACTCCTCTTCTCCCCTCCTCCATCCTTCTCTGCATCCTCCTCCGCCTTCTCCTTCTCCTCCCTCTCTCATCCGATTCATCTTCCATCCTCCATCCTTCAGTCCCCAGCTCGTCGCGACACTCCTGTCTCTCTCTCGTTCTCTTCACCTTAGCCTCGTCGTCCTCCTCCCTCCTCCCTCGTTCTCCCCCTCCACCGAGTCATCCTCGTCCTCATTTTCTCCTTCCCGGTTCATCATCCTTGTCCTCCCTGTTGGTCCTCCTCCATATCTTTTCTCTTTTGCTTCCCACATCCCTTCTCCTCCTCTTCCTCCTCCTCATCTTCCGTTTCCTGCTCTTTCTTCTCCTCGGCCTCGTTCCTGTCGCTGTCCTTCCCATCTGTCCGTCTCTTCCTCCTCTTCCCCCCTCTATATCCTATTGCTCTAAACCGCTTGAATCAAGCACTGTTCTGACCAGCACCCTATCCGTAAGGGCTTCGCCCCCTGCCGCCGACCCCCCTCTCTCGGAGAATGCGCTATGCAAGAGCTATGTCATGAGGCCTGGGCGCTGTCGTGAAGCAGAATCGGAGCTTCATGCGACGCCGACTCGTCATGAGCAAAACCAATTGATCACCAGAGGGGTTACCACACTTGGCGATTGGTAAGACGTCGTGGCCCTACGGATCTGCGTGAGAGTTGCCGCCGAATTTCAGAGATGTGGCAAATCCCTTGTGTTTTTTGGACCCTGACCCTGCCGATCAGCGTGTGTGGTGCCGCCGAAGTTCCTAAATGTGGCAAATTCCATGTGTTTTTGGACCCTGACCCTGCCGATCTGCGTGACACCGGATGTCAGCAATGTGGCAAATCCTTTATGTTTTTGGACCCTGACCCTGCCGATCTGCGTGAGGGGTGCCACCGAATTTCAGAAATGTAGCAAATCCATTGTGTTTTTGGACCCTGACCCTGCCGACCTGCGTGAGGGGTGCCACCAGATGTCAGAAATGTGGCAAATCTCATCCGTTTGTGTAGCAAATTCCGTGTGCTTTTGGACCCTGACTCTGCCGATCTGCGTGGGGGGTGCCACCAGATGTTGGACCCTGACCCTGCCGATCTGCGTGAGGGTTGCCGCCGAACTTGGGAAATGTGGCAAATCCCGTGTGTTTTGAGACCCTGACCCTGCCGATCTGTGTGACACCGAATTTCAGAAATGTGGCAAATCCTTTTGTGTTTTTGGACCCTGACCCTGTCGATCTGTGTGAGGGGTGCCACCGAATTTCAGAAATGTGGCAGAACCCGTGTGTGTTTTTGGACCCTGACCCTGCCGATCTGCGTGAGGGGTGCCACCGGATGTCAGGAATGTGGCAAATCTCATGTGTTTTGGACCCTGACCCTGCCGATCTGCGTGAGGGGCGCCACCGGATGTCAGAAATGTAGCAAATCTCATGTGTTTTTGGACCCTGACCCTGCCGATCTGCGTGAGGGGCGCCACCGAATTTCAGAAATGTGGCAGAACCCGTGTGTTTTTGGACCCTGACCCCGCCGATCTGCATGAGGGGTGCCACCGAATGTCAGGAATGTGGCAAATCCTTTGTGTTTTTGGACCCTGACCCCGCCGATCTGCGTGAGGGGTGTAAATTTTTACCCACCCCAGCAATTCAGACAATACGATTTCTCGGTGGTAAAAACGCCCGTTTTGGGCCTCCCCCCCTCGCGCGGTCTATCAACACGGAACAGTAAGCAGCAAGACCTTAACAAGGAACAGTAAGCAGCAAGAAGCAGAACTGTAACTGGAAGCTGTAACGGGCACAGGAAATTGCGAAGCTTAGCCCTACAGCCTGGTGGCAACACAAGGGGGCTGGCGGATTTTGCTTTGGGGAACATTAGTTGATATGGCGGATGCTGATTCCTCTCGCCCCTTCCTGCCCCGCCTAAGTTTTCCTGTTTCCTCCTCATGCTGATGCTTGTGATGCTTTCGCAGTTGCCGTTGTGTTTGTTGTGTGTGTGTTCCGGCTCGTCGTCTCGACGTTGTCCGCCGCCCCCCTCCGGACATGACTTCACTCGTGTTCCTTTTCCTCTTCCGTTTCCCCCTCTCTTCAACGGTTTGTTCATTTTGGTTTTTCAGTCGTCCCTCTGGCCGTGCTATTCTTCGTCATGCGTCTGCGCGTTCTCTCACCTTGCAGGATCTAACCCCTTCTACGAGTGGCTCTGCTTCCATCTTCAGGACAAACCAGACCAGCCAGAGCAACCGTACCTGTCAGGGCAGCCCGATCACCTAGCCCACCGACACCAACCGCGCCAAACCCGAAGAGTCAGACGATTTGAATCAGATCAAACAGGAAGAAATGGTTGGCTGAGGGGTTCACGCGGTCGAACAAACAACATCAGCGAGACAAAGGGCCACGCTATTCTCCTCGCAGTGGTTCCAAGATGCTTCCAGAGCGCCCCAAAAATGATGCAGCATGGCACCTAGAGTCTTTCGAAGAAGCTTCCGCTGACGCTCTGGACTGGGAAGTGGATGACGGACACAGCGGGGGAACGGGGACCATAGGAAAGTATTTGAAGCTTACAGGATACGAAGGATCGACCAGGCATGCAGACCAAGCATGCTAAGCAGGTGTCGCACACCAAAGATATGACTCATACCAAACATGCCAACCAGCAGAGCGAAACTGCGATCCAGACGAACATGACCAACAAGACTAGCCAGACCAAAACAGCTCAATCAGACCCGACAGACAAACCAGCAGGCCAGGCGTCCAGCTAACACAGAACGCCGACCACACCCACCACACCAGCAGGGCCAAGCCGACCTCACGGGCGGCAGCACAGACCAGCCACGTGCGCGGCCGGACGGAGCAGGCCAGCCAGACCAGGCAGACAGACCGCACCGTACACTTTAGGCGATGCGTAAGAAAACTTAAGTTTTCGGCCAGAGTCTCGACTATTCTTAACGTTTCAATGTAAATCTTAAATAGAAATGTTGGGTTTTTTATTCAAGTTCTGAGACTATGAATTTCTTAACCCATGATTTCTTAAGCATTTCGCAGGGTGTACCAGCATACACGACCACACTCATCTCGCACGCGCGGAGTCCGAAGCCGAAGCACGGACAGCGAGACTGCAGTGCAAGCAAGAGTCAGAGCACCACGGCAGAATTGCAGCGGAGATCAGGTATGCTGGTCGGAGCGAGGTCCACGCGGGCTTCGCGCTCGCCCTGGACCTATCTTAAGCAATGCCCGTCCCACTCGCGGAATCCCAGGCTGAAGCTCGAACGGCAAAAATGCAGCGCAGCAGCAACAACAGGCAAACGAATTGCACTGCACGGGCATGTTTTCTGGTCGCGGCGGAGACACCGTTTGTGCGAGACCATCCTTAGTCCTCTCCCAACAGATGTCGCCCCAATCGCGGAGTCCAGAGCTGAAGGCGTAATGGCAAAGTTGCAGCGCAACAGCTCCTGCAGCGCAACGCGCAGGTGCAAAACACCGAACAACAATTGCCGCCTGGTCGGGCTGAGGGGCCGTGGGCTTCACACCCTCCACGGACCTCTGCAGAGCCGCCCGGCGCTGGAAATCCAGCTGCAGCCAATTTGCCAAGGCACAGTTTGCCCTCAGACATGCTGCGCCCCGCCGTGCGCTACACGGCTACGAACTTTTGTGGTTGCCTCAGCGTTCTTGCTCCTCTTCATCTTGGTGTTGTTACTCTTGTTTCTCTTCCTCATCATTTTGGTGATAGTATCCCCCCTCTTCTTTATGTTGGTCGTTCTCTTCTGGGAAGGAGGCGGAGGAGGATGATGACGAAGGGGCAGTTCGGAGCAGCAGGAGGGGGTAAGGAAGGAGAGATGACGAACAGGGGAGGAGGAGGGCGGAATGGAGAGAGAACGAGAGAGGACTGGAGGGACGTGGGGGGAGCGAGGAATTAGTAAGGGAAGAGAAAGAAGGTGGGAGGAAGATCCCCTCTGAGATGGCCCCGCCACTGGAGCAATCCATCACGTGAGCATGGAGGGATATCCACAGGTCCATTTCGTTCCACCTCTACGACTTCGACGCGCACCGACTGAACCAAAAAGTTCAAGGTCGTGCCGCAAGCGTACGGGAATGTATTTCCGACGCATGCATTTGCACGTGTGTTGTCAGTGCGGAATGCCTTATGCGCATTTGCACGGCTATTTCAAGCGAGGCCATTCGCAGTTTCCTTTTCAGTGCCCGTGGGAATGTTGCCAGTGGTTTGTTGGCAAGGGCGATTTGGAGCAGCAGAAGAACAAGTCACGCTCATCGAATCGATTGGACGCAATTGTTGCGGCATATGGGTCAGCCAAGTCTACTCCTCAGCGAACCGCAGGCTCAACGATAACCGACAAGCGCCCAACTCTCATGGTCCATGAAGCTATATGCTCCTCGCTTGCATCGATTGGCCACCAGGGACTCCAATCAACGAGAACTATGAAAAAACGCGTGGCGTTACGAGCGTACGGGGGAACAAACGATGATCTTACCAATACGTCATCGCCCCACCGGAATCGCGTTGAAAGTTTCGAAGAAGCAAAACGAATCTTGTTGAGTAAGCAGTACCGACGGGAGCCGACAAATGTTTGGTTAGAGCAAGCTGGCATCGATAATGTGTTCAATACAAACAACGAGTCGCACAGACAAGATTTCAAATGTGACATGACATTGATACACGGGAGCCCTATGCCAGATCATGTTGTCCATAATGTTGTAGAACGCTGTCTGAATCAATCGAACGGCTCGCTTTGGTTATCAGACCTCGCATATTGTATCGTGTTCGAATCGTTCACAGGCCACGTATTCGGTGCGAAGAACTTCAGCCGGACAGGAGCAATCGTTGAATTATTCATCACTTGGTGGCGTTCTCGCAAGTGCAACAGCGGCAGTGTCATGGGAGAGTTGCTAAAACAAGAGGTCTTGGATTTTCAGCATGATAATCTTGAGCATCGCGGGCAATTCGAATTCCGAGGCGAATGGACGCACAATGGGCTAAATGCAATTGTTCCCGGCTTCGTCAATGCAGCAGTCGCTGCTACCGACATGTTGATTAATATCACCCGCTCTGGGAATTGGATGAAGTCGTTGAGCAATCAGGATCTTCGTACATTCGTGGATACTTTCTTGAAATTACACCCTCCACTGGGGAGCTTGAAGCGTATGGACACAGACGATGGCACGATCAAACAAATCCCTATATCGGTGCTGCGCGATCATGGCGCAGTAGAAGACGCTTCATTTGGATACGGTCGTGGGCGCTGTCCGGCAATCGAGTTTTCGAAACAATGGCTTACGACCATCTTGGCGGCATATTCCAAATTTGCAGCCGAAGGTAGGTTTGTCATCATGAGCTCTGGAACCAGACGTGGACTTGTTGACGACATCAAGGACGTGAGAATTGGTCGTTCGCACTGATTGTGACCATTGGTCGAGGCAATCTAACGGCTGCCGCCTCTGCCGCCGACCCCAGAAGATGGCCTCGGTGCGACTTGCTCATGCGAGGGCAATGTATCATGACTGCACTGTTACCTCAATCCGACAGCATACGTTTACATACTCGTGATTGCTTGTCTCACAACGTTTTTGCGTTGTGACTCTTTGGTACAGACGCCAGATGTTTTGGGGCCTCTTGGGTGCGTGCCTCTTGGGCCGAGGACACTCTTGGGCCGTTGTGGGGCGCTCTTGGAGGCCTCTTGGGCCGTCTTGGCGCGATCTTGGGGCCTCTAGGGTTGTCGGGGAGCCATGTTGAGCGTCTTGGAGCGATCGTTCGGCGACTCGGGGCCCTCCTGGCCCGTCTTCGGGACCTTTCGGGGCTCTCTCTGCCTGGCTTGGGGCGCTCCTGGGCACGACAAAGTGACGCGATGCGCCGCCGGCAACCTCTGGACTCGGCCCGGACGTCGGCGTCCGAATCGTTCTGGGCGTCGGTTCCAGCCTTTGCTCAGGAGAGGAAAAAACACACAGACACACTTAATCCTCGATTCCCCAGAAAATATGGGAAAATATGGGAAATGGGGGGGAGACAAACACCAAGAAAATATGGGAAAATATAGGGGATAGTTTTATTTGTGTATATCTATTTGTGTGTCCTGGGGCCCTTTCATTTGCACCGCGGTTTCAGCTTCGGTTCTGCCGCCGGCTGCGGTTTCGAGTGTGGGTTCGGCCTGGGGCGTGGAGGGCGCCGCGCGGCCAGCGAGGTCTGCTGAAAGGGAAGGGCCCCAGGGGGCACGCGCCGAGCCCATAGGGCGAGTCGTGAATCTAAAGCCCGGGCCCCGTCAACCCTGGGGATCGAGGACTGAGGCTCTGGAGCTTGGGCAGAGGACCTGGGGACACGCCCACTCTGTGCCCATTGGCACGGTGGCGGACATCTTGGTATACAGCTTTGGGGTATATATATATATACACATATCTATATCACAAGTGTGCATACACACATATAGAGAGAGAGATCTATTCACATTGACAGACAGGCCGATACAGGGCCTTCGATGGATGCACCTGGTTGTCCCGATGGGTGTCCCGTGGTTGGTGCCACCCCGCCTCCTCCAACTCCATTACTGGCCTTCGGCCTGTCTTACAGGGACGAAGATTTATATCTATATATTATCATACGCACCTCTCCGAGGGAGTAGGCCCCAGCGGGCCCATGCTCCCCAAGACGGCCCAAGAAGGACCCAGGACGGCCCATGAAGGCGTCAAAACGGCCCACGAGGGCCCCGAAGAAAACACCCCCACGATGCTTCCGAATGCCAACATGTATTGATTTTGTTCCCATGACATTTCACATTGTGACCCAGTCGTTGAGGGTCTCGTGGCATGCAGCGAAGATGCCCGAGGATGCCCCGTACGAGATGCATATGCATGTTCATACCCTTACAGAAATTTATATGTACATATGTACGCTGTATACACACATACAACCATGTAAGTATAGTTTACACGGAACGTACATGCACGTGCGCGTGTATACATTCATGCGCGCATGTACGCACGTACACATTCCGCGTGCGTGCAGAACTCAAAGGAAAAAGGTGCATGGCGCGCAGCGCCAGTGCAGTCTTATATATATATATATATATATATATGTGTACCCTGGCATTCCATGTGTATCCGCGTGTACAGAGGCCCGCGGTGGTGTACACACAGCCCTTGTGATGCGCACGGGCCTGTCGCTCGTGATGTACAGGGGCGCGTGCTTGCGGTGAACGCGGAGTGCGTCTGTGGTGTGCACGGGCCTTGCGCGGTGCGCACAGGCTCTGTAGTGCACACAGACTGGGCGTTTGTGACGTGCAAAGGATTGTGTGCTGCGGTGCGCCCCAGCCATTGGTCGGGCGCTCTGCCCCAGCCCCCAGTCTCCCTGGTGGTCGCGGCCTCCCTCTCCTAGGCACGGCGCAGGGGGGGGTGGGCAAGCTAGGTGCGCTCGCGTCATATCTGACATCCTACCCCTCGCTCCCATCCCTTACCATGGCGTCGATCCCCTCTCTACCCGCACAGTCGGATGTCGAGCAGGGCCATGATCCCGAAAGGGTACGCGATGCATTGTAGAGCACGGCATGGCATGGCGTAGAAGAGCACCGCAAAGCGTAGTATGTCACAGCATGGCGTGGCGTGGCGTAGTGAAGAATTGCATCACAAAGCTTTGTAACTCAAAGCATGGCTTCGCATAGCGGCCCCGAACATAACATTGCATAGCATGGCGTTGAAGATCAAAGCGTAGCATGGCATAGCACGACGTGGCACTTAAGCATTGCATATCACAGCTTCAGCTGAAGGCATGGCATCGCGCAGCGGAACGCAACCTAGCATTGCATTGCATGCCGTGGCATGGCACGGGAAATGACGCCAGCGCTGCAGCGGGAGCACGATTCGGAACGAGCGGAAGCGCGGAAATGAGGCCAGCGCTGCAGCGGGAGCACGATTCGGAACGAGCGGAAGCACGGAAATGAGGCCAGCGCTGCAGCGGCAGCACGATTCGGAACGAGCGGGGCCCGAAAATGAGGCCGGCGCCTCAGCGAGAGCAGCATTTTGAAAAACAAATGCAGGCGAAAACCCAACTCCGGGGAATCCTGTGTGTACAAAACAGTACGCGGGGGGGGGGGGGGCGCGAACACTCCCAACCCGTCATCAGGGGAAGGAGGAGAATAGTATTCATATTGAGTAATTGTGGAGGGAGGAAGGCTTCTAAGAAGTACCTATACTTCTTAGAAGGCTCGGGCCTTATCTGTAGATGTAGGGCCAGCGCCTCCCAAGAAACAACCTCCCTCTAAGACGCCTTCCCCCCTCCCCCCTACCCCCTTGTGCGCGCCGCTAGTATCTACTGCGCTCGAGCCCTCGGGGGCCTGGCGGCGGCCGCCGACGCTGGCTGCCGACGTGGCCGCGTGGCCACGCCGAACGCCATGCGGGCCGGCGCCAGCGGGCCCGAGGGCGCCCGAGGCTTCAGAACGGCCTGAAAGACGGGGACACCTCAGGCCAGGGGTGCGTCTGTCAACTCCTACTCTGGGAATGCCTTCAGGAGGCTTGGCGCGACCTCGCACTCCGAGAGAGCCTCCTCCGCGCAGGAGCGCCTGGTATCCATCAACGTCGATCCCAGCCGGGCCACTCGTGGACCCAGGATCGGTGGGGTCGGATGACAGGGGGGTAGGGAATAGGTGGGGTACGAAATCTGCTGCGAGCAGTTGTTCTCGGCCCCGCCGCGGAGCGGTTTCCTTTATACATTGGCGCCTACGGATCCAGGGGGCGCTGGAGAAACCGATCACGAAGGATGATCGGTACCCCTCTCTGTCGTTGTTACCCTCTCTTTCGTTCGACCGCTTCATCCTCTCACGGCTAGTGCAGACGTGGCGCCATAGTTTGCATGATGCGGATGCGCTGAGCCAGTGCAAATCTGCAAAACAAAACACATGGCATCGATGCCCACCCAAAGGATGCCCACAAAGAGGAGAGGTGTGATGTCGACCAGCACGTGAGACCCACGGCAGGATAACCCGGCTGTTGTTGCTCACATTGGATTAAAGAGTAGCAGGAAGGTTGCAAAGCATTACATACAACAGTTTAGTTTGCACAGGTTCTCACGATTCAGGATTTCAAGGGGCAGCCAAGAAGACTCGGCGGAGTGAGCATTGAGCTCCACGTCGGGGGCCATGGATGAGGAGCAAGATGAGAAGTAAGTGCAGGAGGCGGAGGAGGGGGCCGCCAATCAAGCATCGGCCATGCCACTCTTTTTGGTTTATCTGTGCAGGTGATCCGACCCGGCTTTCTCTGCTGGGCAGTGCCGTTATGTCTTGCGAATCGTTTTCGCACAGGTTGAGCCACATCGATTCCCTTGTCTTGAGGCTTGTAGGGCAAGTAGCTCGGCGGACCGCGTACTGCCGCACCAGCGGGGGTCTGGCTTGTTGGCCGAGCTGCGTTGCTTCGGCCGCGTCATCCTTTCACGGCTGTTGCTGCGGCCACATGCACTAAATTTTAAAGGCCAGCGCGCAAGCGGCTGTTGGCAGGACCAGACGTGGCGCCATTTGTTGCATGATGCGGATGCGCTGAGCCAGTGCAAATCAGCAAAACAAAACACATGGCATCGATGCCCACCCAAATAATGCCCACAAAAAGGAGAGGTGTGATGTCGACCATCACGTGAGGCCCACGGCAGGATAACCCGGCTGTTGTTGCTCACATTGGATAAAGAGTAGCAGGAAGGTTGCAAAGCATTACATACAACATTTTAGTTTGCACAGGTTAACACGATTCAGGATGTCAAGGGGCAGCCAAGAAGATTCGGCGGAGTGAGCATTGAGCTCCACGTCGGGGGCCATGGATGAGGAGCAAGATGAGAAGTAAGTGCAGGAGGCGGAGGAGGGGGCCGCCAATCAAGCATCGGCCATGCCACTCTTTTTGGTTTATCTGTGCAGGTGATCCGACCCGGCTTTCTCTGCTGGGCAGTGCCGTTATGTCTTGCGAATCGTTTTCGCACAGGTTGAGCCACATCGATTCCCTTGTCTTGAGGCTTGTAGGGCAAGTAGCTCGGCGGACCGCGTACTGCCGCACCAGCGGGGGTCTGGCTTGTTGGCCGAGCTGCGTTGCCTCGGCCGCGTCATCCTTTCACGGCTGTTGCTGCGGCCACATGCACTAAATTTTAAAGGCCAGCGCGCAAGCGGCTGTTGGCAGGACCAGACGTGGCGCCATCTGTTGCATGATGCGGGCGCGCCGAGGCAGTGCAAATCAGCAAAACAAAACACATGGCATCGATGCGCACCCAAAGGATGCCCACAAAGAGGAGAGGTGTGATGTCGACCAGCACGTGAGACCCATGGATGGATAACCCGGCTGTTGTTGCTCACGTTGGATTACAGAGTAGCAAACAGGCTGCAGAGCATTAGTCAGGAGGGAGAAAAAAGCACACAGACACAAGTAATCGTCGATTCCCCACAAAATATGGGAAAATATAGGAAGTGGGGGGGAAGGCAGAAACCCAGAACATCTATGAAAATATTGGGAATCCTGCTATTTGTGTGTATTTATTTGTGTGTCCCAGGGCTCCTTCAATTACATGCAACAGTTTAGTTTGCACAGGCTCTCACGATTCAGGCTTTCAATGGGACAGCCAAGAAGACCCGGCGGAGTGAGCTCTGAGCGCCCAGTCGGGGGGCATGGATGAGGATCAGGATGAGAAGTAAGTGCAGGAAGCGGAGGAGGGGGACATATCGTCTTTCATCTTAGCGGATGCAGCCAAGTCTCCGACCGGGCAGTGGCCGACCCCACCCCGCTGTCATGACAGGATGACGTGTTCATAAGAGTGGCCGCGTGCAAGGGCGCATCATCTTCGAAGTCATCCTTGGCCGCCAAGTGTCCTCATCGCTCTCCCTCGAGCGCTCCTCGATGAAGGTCGCGCGCCTGGTGGAGGCTGTGCCCCCGCCCGGCGGCGCGACGCGCGCGCTCCCGCATGAAGACCTGCACGCGACTTCCCGAGCGAGTGTCGCCACAGCTGGGGATCTCTACCGCTGCCGAGATGTCGGCGGCGACTGCAGGGGGGCAGCGGCAAGGAGCAGGCCTTCTCAGAGGGCGGCGGGGCTTCCAAGAAGGCCTCGCGCCTCCTCCCGGCCCTTCGGCAGTCCCTCGCGCATTCCGGCTCAGGCCTATGTAGAAGACATCTCTCGGCGGGCACGAAGCTTTCCGAGCCTTCTCTTAGAAGGCCCGCCCCTTCTCACTTCGCCCCCAGGCTCCCCTCCTCCTCATCTCCCTCCTCTCCCTCCTCTCCCTCCTCCTCCTCCTCCTCCTCCTCCTCCTCCTCCTCCTCCTCCTCCTCCTCCTCCTCCCCCCCTCCTTTCCACGACGAGGTCGCGGACATTACCGCGCAGGATCGCGGCACCTCCAGGCAGGGAACGCTGCGGGCCTGGCAGCGCTGGGTGGCCAAGGGCCACGGGGAGGGGGAACCGCGCTGGGCGCACAATTGGAGTCGTCCTGCTGAGCACCGGTGCGCGGCGGCGGCAGACCCCTCCGAGCCGGCCAGACCGACGGAGCTTCTGACGCAGGAGGGTCGGGGGCGGCAAAGAGGGGGGTGATGACCAGGGGGGGGGTGGATATCACGGCGTGGGCCAGGATATTTCCGCTGATTTCATGGCGCCTCTTCTTACTTCACTACGTCCCTGGCCCCCCCCACCCTGGGCCGCGCGCGTGCCGCTGGCCATGATTTGCGCCCCCCCCTCTTTGACGCCCCCCCTCTTGGCCGCCCCCGAGATCCACGCCCTTGGGCTTGGGTCCCTCGCGCCCCCGAAAGCTGCGCACCAAAGGTCACTCTCACCCAGGGTCACCTCTTACGTCTGGCCGACAGTGCGCAAGCACACGCTGGCGTTCCCGCACGTCCGCATGCGGGCCCTCTCGGACACGCCGCCCCCCGCCGAGCCCGGCGCCCCTCCGGCCGCAGGCGGCGCGGGGGCCGCCGGCCTGCTGCCAGCGCCGCCGCCCGCGCGGGGGCCACCCGCGGGCGCGAGGCCCGTCGCTCGCCGCTCCGTCGGCGCCGTTGGCGCGCCGCCGCCGCCGCCGCCCGTCGGCGTCCCTGCCGCCGCCGCCGTCTGCGCCCCCGCCGCCTTCGGTGTCGGCGCCGCCGCCGCCCTGGCGCGTCGCGGGGGCGTCACGCGCCGCCGTCGCCGCCGCCGCCCCCGAGGCCAGAGCGGACCGGCAGCGCCCCCGGGCCGGGGCCGCGCGGGGGCGCCGGCTGGCCGCGCGAGGGCGGCGAAGCGCTCGGGGCGCGGCTGCAGCTGCCAGAGCCGATCCCCAGGCGCGCAGTGCCCGAGGGAAGGGGTGGCGTCGGTCGGGCCCAGGGCCAGGAGTTGGCCGCTCCAGGGCCTTCCGGAACGCTCTCGGAGCACTCCGGAGCGCTCTGTAACGGCCGCGGTGCCCGATCCTCCAGAACCGCGAGAGCTCAGCCCGATCTATCCGGGTCAGGTCTTGTTCTGTCCTGGTCTTGTCCCAGGGCGACACCACCATCATCAGCGGGTCACTTCCAGCGAGGGAGTTCACGGTGCCTCCCCGAGCTTGAGATTGGAGATGCCTCCAGCGGGGCGCCGCAGACGAGTCGGGCCGGACGAAAGGGGGCATAGGGAACGGGGGGGATAAGAAAGTGTGCGTTCTTTTTCATTCCCCAGCGTAACGCTCGTTACCCGGCCCAAGCCCCGCCCCTCCCCCCGGTAACGCTAACGATCGTGCTGGGGGGGGCCACAAAGCGATCGGGGGTAATTTAGCCTCTGTGGGATATCTAGTTGTGGACGAGGGACGTCGTCGCCGTCGTCGTCGTCGTCGTCGTCGTCGCCGTCGTCGTCGTCGCCGTCGTCGTCGTCGTCGTCGTCGTTGTCGTCGTCGTCGTCGTCGTCGATGGCTCAGCTACCGTAGGCTGGTTCGACCATTGTGCCGTCTGGCCAGTGCCCGGTTGCGGTGCGATACAGCCGACGCACCTAGTAAGGACGTGCGCCTTCGCAAGGGTACTCTTGTGTCCTTGCCTCTGCGGCATGTCCTTTGCGCATTCACTGGCCAGCATTTGCCAACAGATCCCAACTTCGGTTTCCAAGGATTTCGCGTCCTTACCACCTGTCCGTACTGCACGTAACGATCGTAGATCCAGCGCCATGGACAAGACAGGGCTGCCCCGTGCCTTCTCCCGCAGGTGCTGTGTGCGCGGGCGCTGTAGTTCACGCAGGCAGCGCGGTGCACACCAGCGCTGTGTTGCACACGGTGTACACACGGCTGCTGCGGTGTACACAAATTCTATGGTGCATGTTGGCACTGGTGTACACCGACGCTGTGTTGCACGAGGCGCTGTGGTGTGCGCACGCGTTGTGGCGCACGCGTGTAGAATCCTCAGGCGCTCCACTTTCCATATAGACTCTTGTGCAACATGTATATAAAACACTTGTTTTCCGTGGAATTCAGAGGCGCCCCACTTTCCATCCGGATTTCTGTATAAAACAAGAGTTTCCTGTGGAATCCAGAGGCGCTCCGCTTTCCATAGCGATTCCAGTTGACATCTGTGGAATCCGGAGGCGCTCCATTCTCCGTAGTGCTTCTTTCAATCATCATATTATAAGCAATGGTTGTCTGTAGAATCCGTCGGCGTAATCTGATATCAAATATTGTTGTATGTGGAATCCTGAGGTGATCCAGTTTCACGGTGCTGGCGTTCTGGTGCACGCAGGTAATGCGGTGTACACGGGCGTTGTTGAGCACACGCCTGCTGCAGTGTACACAGGCACTGTGGTGTGCAAAGGCGACGTGGTGCTGCAGTGCACGTGGCTGCTATGGTGTACGGAGGCATTGAATGGTGTGTACGCAGGTGGCGCTGTGTTGCACGCGGGCATTGGGCACTGTCGTGTACACAGGGAGCGCGGTGCACACAGGCGATTTATGCGCCGGTGGCGCGGACGTACCCTGGCGGGCGCACGCCGCGGCCTCCGTTATTGTCACCCTCCCGCCCGAATCCCACCCCCCGGGTAACGGCCGCTACCTAGACAACACAAACGCTCACGAATTTCAAATTTTCTACGCGCAGTTGGTTTCCGCCCCGCCGCTGGGCCCATTCCTCGATACATGGGTCCTCCCAGCGCCAGGAGACGCCAGGACAACCAGCTACGTGAGCTGATTCTCTACCCTACCTTTTGCCATCCTACGCTATCGTGTCCCCCGAAAGCGGGCGGCCACGCCACCATAATGACCCTGGCTCTTGCCCCTGGTGGTTGGTGGTGGTGTTCCTCTTGCCCTTACAGCCGGACCGAGGTAGAAGATCGAGGTCGGTCCAGGGAGGGTAAGTACTCAGATGTTCTTTGTGTTTGTTGGATGTTCTTGTGCATCCTGGGAATGGCGCCCTTGGATGCTCTGCGTTTATTTGCCTGCGGAGTGTCTCGTGTTCTTCTGCCTGGGTCCGATTGTATTAGTCAGCGGCGCGCACAAGGGGGGGCTGCGCTCGGGCGAGGGGGTCGGTGGCCCTCAGGGCAAGCAGGTGGCGCTCTGGGAGCCTCCAGGCATCGAGGAAGCCTTCGGGGCCTTTCTGAGAAGCCGAGGGGGTCTGGGGAGGGGTAACCCTTTGAAGTTACCGCCGGCTCCAGTTCGATGTTCCCCCGCCCCCCCCCCCGCCCTCATAGAATGTCCAAGACCTGTTAAAAATGATGACCCCCCTCCCCCCCTCTTGGATCCCGACTGCTGTTACTTTGGCGCCGAAGGTTTTTGTTTTATCTGCCCCTCCTGGAAAATAGTCCACGGAGTTTGTTTACATTTTGTATACACGTAGACGCACGCACTCACACGCATGCATTGGCAAACGCGTCTGAACTGTACGCG